TGGCAAATTGAACACCTTGGTCATTACAGTCAATGACAGATCTACCATCGGGAGCACCTTTAAGTGTACCAGCCAAAGGATAATAATCGTTTAAAACATCTCCAAGTGATTCTAAAAGTTTTTGAACATTCATAAACTTATCTTTTTTAAAACCATTTTTAAAAAAATAAATGAACCCATGATAAAAGCTTGGCATAATAATGTCGCAGTTAGAAAGCGGAATTTGAGCATGTTTCTTTGGCCTGGTTGGCTTAACGTATAGGGTTTCCTTAATTATGATAGACATACTGAGATAGCAGACAAATATCAAAATTTGAATGAATATTGTTCAAAATTCGAGGTATGAAATTCGTAATAAGTAGTGATACAGGAAACAATTCCTCTGCATTACTAGTAAAAAAAAAAAAAAAAAATTTATAATATTTATAACTTTCTGGATCAGTAATTTCCACTAGTTAATATCAAAATATATGTAATTCAAAGCTAGCTAGACTATAATTATAATTTTTTTAATAAGCTAATATAAGCTACATAAATATATGTATCTGATAATGATTTGATATTTTATCGATATTTTTTTCTTTTTATTTTAATGCAGTAAATCTGACTCATTTAAGGATAAAGTATACATAATCTACATAGTGTCGCTTAGCAAAAATAGTAGCCAGACAGATTTACTGTTTCAAATACTGATATTTGTTAATGATTAGAGATGGGCAAAATTTTGCTCATCTCCGGCGATGATAATTGAGTGATGACTAATAATTTTAAAGAATTTTATCAAACTAAGTTTGAATTGTTCATTGTGGCAGATCATAATGAAATCGGATTAAAATGAATCTGGGGACCTTTCTTGCTCATCTTTAAAGCTTATAAAACCCACTTGTACTCTTTAATTAATAAAACTAACTCTAAACCCTAACTCTAACACTAACCCTAACCCTAAAAAATGTCCCCCAAAAATTTTAAATTTCCTAAAAAAATAGAAAAATTTCATTTTAATCTGCCACATTTATTTGCGCCAGTATGCTTTGATTCGCATTTTATGGTGTTGTATATAGTGTTAGCGGTAGAGTTAATACCTCTACCGAAATTTTTGATACTCCTGCACCTACTTTTTTGATACTGATCGAATGCAGATCCCGTAAAAATGAAATTTTTTAAACCTTTGAGCGAAGATATCTTGACAACTACCTGCTTGAAACTGATAAAACCTTTGCAACCTGAATTATATGGATTCATAGAATTCAAATTAAAAAATTTTGTCGAATTTTGCCAGGTGATTGTCGAGATATTTTCGCTCAAAATTAGAGAAAAATCAAAACGTCTTTCAAAATAGCGCTCAAATTTTTACTGGGATCTGCATGTCGATCAGTATCAAAAAAGTAGTAGGAGTATCAAAGCGAATATTTTGCACCTCTTTCCGGATTTATACTATGATAAAACTGGATAGCGGTGTGAAACCGGAAACGTGACTGACGCAGGCACGTGCCCGTGATCTCAGATATTTCCAAATTGGGGTTTACCGGCCAGAAATCACAGAAAGGCCGTTTCTGGTAGAAACAGCAGAAATTATAGAAATGGCAGAAAGTACAGAAATGGCAGAAACGGCGATTTTGGGATTATTAGTGATTTTGGCAATAAGGCCGTTTCTGTCAATAAGGACATTTTTGGAGTTATAGACAGCTTTTGTAGATAGAATCTTCATTATAAATAAAGGCCTTTGGCCCTTGGGAAAAGAAGAAGTTCCCATCTTTGCTTTTATTTACTTCGCTAAAAACATACAAATAGTAAAAACACAAATCTATCCCTAAACTAATACAAAAACCTTGTACATAATACATTAACTCCTACACTAAGTAATTGACAACTTAGTAACTTGCACGCCCCTGGTATTCATAAAAATACCTAAGCTTATATTAGATAAACCACGTCCATACTTTTAACTGCTCAGCCAAATCTAACACGCCTTATTCGACACTACTTAACCAAGACTTTGGTTACACGAAGCCAACCCCACTCAAGCGACAGACTCGCTGATTTCGGAGGTGACACCGAATACAAAAAATATAGCCGGATTTATGTATTAACTCTAGTTGGCGGTAGAATTAATTTGGCAAATTAATACGGTTACGGCGTAATTACTTTGTACCGTAATGCCGAAATTGGCCCAAATTATCCTAAATTGCTCTTTATTTTTACTAATACGAAAACAATTGACGTACGTACAACCAGTGTATAAAATGTCACCTCAAAAACATGTGAATATTGCGCACATTATATACTTAATTTATGTGAATAATTTTAAAAATTAGTGCACTATAAATTTTTATAATACTATAAAACATTTTATATAAATATCTATTTGATTTACATATATAAAAATAGCCTGTGTGCACAATGTGCTCTATGTGCACATAATTAAGATTTTATTAATAAATTTGGTGCACTATGTGGCTAGAAATCTCGTGAATTTTGTGCACATTTCTAGCTAAAAACATGTGAAAACTTTTAAAAACATGTGCTCATGAGCACATTGTGCACATAGATTTTATACACTGCGTGCGTACAACTTAGCAGAAACTTGAATTTTTGCTATTTATGATTATCATATGATAGTTATATAACTATTATATGATAAAAATATTTATAATCTGTTAAGTTACTATTAACAATATTTTTATCATATTGTTAAGTGTTAAGATATTAATAGCATTGTTTAATTATTTTAAACATATTGCTATTATATTATTAAAATATTGTATTAGATTGCTATTAGATAATTACTAGTTAATATTAGATTATACTTATATTATAATTATATTATAAATATATTGTATTAATCGCGTTAATAGTGACTTAACAGAATTACAAAAATATGTTTAAATTATTGTAATAATAAACATTTTATATATGTTTACCATATACTGTATTTATTATATTTTTTATTAAAATATTTTATCATATTTTTATCATATAATAGTTATATAACTATCATATGATAATCATAAAATGGCAAAAATTCAAGTTTCTGCTAAGATGGTTGTCCCATCAAAACCTCAGGTGCTATGTACGGCAGAATTCCACAAATTTTTTATCCTTTACTTTTTTAGAAAGTCCAAGATCTGTGATATATGCAGCATGAAAAGTAAAAGTTTGCAAAATATTTCCGCTGTGTAAATCTCTGTGAACGAGTTCTTGTGAATGAATCGACCCCAGATCCGAAGCTATACAGTACAAGATATTCAATTTATTTTTCCATTCCAGTTGTGATACTTGTACAAGATTTTGCCGTAACGTTCCTTTTAATGCATATTCCATAACAATAATGTAATCACCAAGATCATTCCTTGATTCTCCCTTACATTCCAAGAACGATGGATTTTTGTAACCGATTTCACAATAATTCTTCAATTCGTGGATAAATTCTTGCTCATTTTCATTTGAATTATGAATCACTTTAAGTGCACCAAGATTCCACATACTATTAATTCTATATTCCCAACGTGCATAATATCCTCCTTTTCCTATTTCCTTGATATCTCTGAATTCATCATAATTAATCCAAGACAATTTAAATCTCTCATCGTCTAATATTTTCTTAAGTTCAGGATTGATATTATCTGGTGATTTATTAATTTTTAAAAGGCTTCTACACTTTGAATACCAATAATTTGCACTCTGAATACCTTTCTTTGTACCTATACCGTTTCGATAAAATAGTGCAACATTACTCATTGCTGCTTCACTACCCATATTAGCGGATTTTTTATAGTATTTAAATGCTTTATTATAATCTTGATCAACCCCGAATCCATTTTCATAACAATGACCAGCATTACATATTGCATAAATATTATTCAAATCAGCAGATCTCTTATAATATTCAAATGCTTTCTGGTAATTTCTTTTTACTCCGATTCCGTTATAATAACAAATACCAACATCATTCAGCGCAGTCGAATTTCCTAAATCTGCTGCTTTCAAATAATATTCAAAAGTCTTCTTTTCGTCTTTCTCAACACCGATACCATGTTCGATAATTGTGACCAAGTTTACGAAGTTGTTTAGAGACCTTTTTTTTTATTTTTAAAAGGAAAAAAAAATTTACAACTTTAATTGTCTAAAGTGGAGCGGAGAACATTTAATGTTTGATCAAAGTGATACAAAAGTTATATCAATAGTTACATTTTTGAATAGTTCATTAGTTGATTTATATTATCGCATTAAAGGCATAAAGTTGAAAATTTTACGTGTCTGCCTGCGTGCATATTTGTATTTTAGTGTAACAAATTAAAATTTTATTATATACAGTAATGAAAAATCATACATACGTACGTTGTAAAGGTGGGAAATAATGGGTGACGAATATCTATCTATAAATAACCTATCTAACCAATAAACTAACAATAAATAGGATCGAAGCCG